GGCAAAAGTGCTTCGACAATTGGTTCAAACGCATGCAAAAGTGTATAGATCTTGATGGGGGAACATTTTTGAAGGCAGTAAAGCAATGATTAGCATTTATTTTTGGCTTCTAATCCCGAAATATAAAAGGCAACCTTCATGTACGTAATGGACATAATGGCAACAAGCAAAATGTGACCGTAGATGAGATTACCGTCTCCTTTCATGTTCTGACACTGATCCTTTTCCCTTGCTTCGAATTAAAGGATAAAGGATAAAGCCTTGAGACGTTGATCAATTCCGTCTGAGAGGTGCTCCCACGCAATCGACTTCCATTCAGAATCGTAGTGGCGTATTGAAGGTGGCTTACACAATGACTTACGGTAGTCAGCCGATGTTCAAGTCAGTGCTTTTTTCCTCCCAGACAAGTCTGGTACCAATTAACAGACCCCGGGGGATGACAGGGTTCGCTGGCTTAAGCAGATTTTGCCGGGCGTATGTGAACTGCGCCACTTGCCACTACACCATCTCCGCCGACTGCTTTAAATTACCTCTTTCAATCCCACTTGTTGGAGAGCAAGAGCCATCTCTTCAGAGCTTCAAAAGTGACCAGGGTTTTCCATCCTGAGATTTTCTATTTCCATGCAACTTCTATTCCAGTTAAGCTAATGCTTGCCGTTTTAACAATGTGGGTATTTTAGAAGGCTCGAAAGAGCCTTGAAAGTTCACCTTCTGTAAGGAAAAAGGATCAAATCTTTGGCATTTATAAGTCCGTCTTTGAGATGTGTCCCCGCAGTCCACATCCATTCCGGACTGTAGTTGCAAATCTGAATGCGTGTGCGACTTTCGCAATGACTTACGGTGGCTAGCCAGTGTAGAAACCAGTGCTTTTGTTGAGCCAAACGAGTGTAGTACCTATCCCGAGAATATGGAATTCTTGATTGATCAAAGGAGATAATTCGATGATCCGAACCTTTTGTTATGCTTCCAGGATAGTGAGCCACTTGCCATTACACCACTTCTGCTTCTTACCCAAGTTATCCATATTCAAATGAATCGGGCTAACAGGGTGCCTCACCTCTCACAATAACATCCGGTAGGCGTAGCTACGAATTCAACTAGAGACTTAACAGTATACAATACGTCTTTCGGTCTATGACGAAGTTTGAGAATTGTATGTATTAGTGTCACCTGTTTAGATAGGAAAACAATAAAATTACGATTTCTTTTCAGGGATAATGCGGATAACAGCGTAGGTGTTACCCCTTTCGTATCGACTGTGATACCTTAAGCTCTTCCATGGGATGGATGGAATAAGTTAGATTCATTTTAAAGTGAACGGTGAAGGGTGTGATAACAGCTTGTACATGTTGGCGTGGCAAGCTGAATGGCAAGAATTGTTAGATCTATGGCTCTCAATTGTTATGGCAAACACCAAAAAAAGTTCCGGGAAAAATGGAGGATCTTCGTTTCAAAAAGAGGGACGCCTCTAATAAATTGTCTTTGGGAGAGTAAAATTTTACTGACAAAAAAAACTTATACGTTTTTACTGAAGAGAGCTCGTCCGGTAATCCTATCTTGCCGAAAAGATGAGGCTCGGCGTAAGCTGAAACGATGATCACTGGATCAGTGTAACTACTGGTAATATTCATAAGAGTAGCATCGTCTCTACACTGCGATTATGCTCCGAGACTTCTTCTGAATGAAGCTTCGCACAGCTGACCGTAGGATCGAGTAAAGGGTTAACCGAAGAGCCTGCTATAGAAATTTGTAACATCTTCCATGCAGCAGTGATACATCATCTTATTCTCTTTAAATCCTCTTCGGTCCGGTATTGCTACACTGATTTGGCCTTACTTTTCTATCAACTGCACAAGTTTGAGAGGAGACAAATGAAAGCCGAAGAAGTGGGACCCGAGAAGTAACAGCTGCAGGAATAATTTCACGCCTTGGTAACCTGCCACGAGAGGAATCATGAAAGGAGGTGACTTCAACAAAATTGTATGTTTTGCCTCCCCAGCTGAGCTGATGCTGATGTGGAATAATTTACTATCTGCTTGAAAAATCGTCCGTAGGTAGTCTCATGTAAAACTTCTCAAGATCATGAAATAATTTTGCTTCATTGTTCGCTTCAATACATTTGCGCTTCTAAAATTTCTTCTTCAAGTTACAGGAAGAAGGTGTTTGTCTGCAAGACATTCTAGATGCTCTCATGCAGTCACTTCATCTATTCGTAACGGATCCATCACCTTCGAATTGGAATGGCACGGTTCATCGATACAAGCCAAACTTCAATTAATTTAAGTCAGAAGGAACTGAAGAAAGAAGATTTTTTTCAAGTCTCTTCATAAATGATATGATTCGATCGGAATGGAGGACAGAGGAAAGAGTGTAACGTATGTGATTATGAAAAACCACCAGAGGATTATGTTTAAACACCCAGTTGTCTTGACCAAGTCGCAATTCCCTTATAGTATAGTTTACGACAAGAGGGTCTAACAATCATGAATACTGAAGAATTCTCTCGGTCTTCACTTCTGCCCTATCGGATCAATGGCAGTACCTAGTGAATCTGATAAAGCTGTCCCCATTACTTTGACTTGAATCTTTTTTGTCTTTTTTGTGTTAATTTACTAATATATTAATATATATTAAATATATCAATAAATTAACACAAAAAAGACAAAAATGATTTAAGACAAAGTAATGGGGACACGCAAAAAGGCATTGAAATCGAACCTTTATTGGTTTTTCACTGGAATCGCGAGGATTTACCAGATTTCAGATGATATCGAACATGGTTCAAGGTCATTTCATGGATCGTGTCAAGGATATTACCCCATCGGAACTGTTCGACAAAGTCGCCTCTGTATGCGAACAGAAATCGGGTGAAGCAGACCTTAAAAAGTGCCAAAAAGTAACCAAAGAGAATATGAAGTTAATTCATTCGCACTTGCAAATCGGCGAAAAAGCGCATGTTACGTGTCAACAACTGAAAATGTGTTAAAATCGAGTGGCAATGAATTGTTCAAAACTTCTTTGTCTAAAGAAAGGCAGATCGAAGTAATTTGCGTTGTAATTTTACGGTTGCACTCTTTGACTTGCAATAGGGCTTTAGCTGCATTCATGCTAGACAAGTCTGCAGCCCGATTATGAAAAGAATTCATGTGAGTCCTAGGCTCCAAAGTTTAATTAAATATTCACAAAAGATGATATTTCAGCGTGTATAGTCCCAATATTTCTCAAAACTTCTTATAGGGAATCCGGCCCACGTGATTCAGGTAATGGCCACATAAAAACATTCACATATCGAGTATCAATCGTTGAACACAATGTTGGAGACCTATAAACCTTGTCTACGAGTACATCGCAAAAACTTGACAGTTTCACGTCAAGTTTCTGAAGAGAGCAGTTAAAGAGATAGCGGCGGGTAGTCACCATGATGTCGTTTATCTAATGAAAAAAATGTCCAACAATGTCGAGAATTAACGAATTCTCTGAATTACTCTTCTTCCTCTTACAATTAGACAAATGGCAATGCTCACTAACTCTGAGCAAGCAATTCCTCTTACTTCGACTAACCCCTTTTTATGTTCCTTCACTCCAACAATGCACTGATGAAGATCAAGTCCGGCTGACCTATCCCCACTGTCGGTTGCTGAGTGATTTCGAGGATCCACTAAGTGACGGCTTTGAAGAAGGCGAAATGTTACGTTATGTTATGTTTATTACGCTGCTAAGGCAAACGTAGTATAAAATGATAACAAACTTCCGAAACTAACTTAAATAATGGAGCAAATACAAGGAACACACGTAGATAAAACGTA